TTCCTAATCAAAATAAATAATGGAAGAATTTCTTTTTTTATCATCTACATTTTGTAGATATTATCATGTTGTTGCAAAAGGATTTTGTACTTACGAACAAGAGTCCACCTGTGACAGACCAGTGTTGCCAAAAGATATTCAATCAAAGTCACGGAGAACAGGGCAAAGTCACCCAAAGTTAAAAATTTTCTTAAATTAAGAGAACCAATGATCTGAATGTTAATGATCTGAAAAAGAATTTAACAGAAAAAAATAAGGTAATGGGACCATGAGTATGAAAATCAAAAAGAGGAAAAGTTGTTACAGGGCAAAGGGATAATAACTGGTTACACTATGACAAAGATGGTGGCATAACATTCTGTAAGGTATGTAGAAAAGAGAATGTGAATCTGAAAACTATTAGTAGACTATTATTGATGAAGAAAATGTAAATCTTAAAACACTGTTAATGGTCTACTAGCATAAGTCATGACATACATCCTTTGACCTACCTGTAGAGAGAGAGTGTTAATACAATCCTTCCATCTTTTCATTTCTTTTGCCTGCTATTTGCTCTCCTCTCTGCAACCTGTTTACTAAACTATCCTCACCAATCTTCTGCACATGCTCTACCACTTCAATCTTAATTCCTGCAACTTGCTAATGCCACATAGCTTCACCTCCAGTCTAGTTTCTGTGCTTGGCTTGTGACCTCCCAAAGTCACATCTCTAATGCAATCAGACTACCTCATTTCTGTTACTTCCAACATTTTCAGATGACACTCTTTCACTACCCAGATTTTGGCACCAAATAGCAGTGCTGGCCTAACTGTGATTTTGTTTATACAAAAATGTTCTTGAGCTTCATTGGCAATCACCTAATAAATACCATCACTGCAATCCTCTGCCACATCCACTTGCACTTTGTAACTTGGCTTGTATCTCTTTGTTTAACTTGCCATTCTCGTCTTATCCAGCCTCCAATGTACTTGAAACTCTTCAACCTCTGTATTTAGCTCAGTTGGATTAACTGCTGATGACACTACCATCATTTCTGTTTTTAATCTGCTCATCTTCATTCCATGTGCTTTGTTCCAACTAAACGCAATTTCCTCCATCTCCTCCTCTGAGTTCACTCCTAATACTATATCATCTGCATAAATCAGTTTCTTGCATCTTTTTTATATCTAACTGCTTAATTGTTTAATCCAGGATAGTGATGAATAGCAGTAATGAGCCCAAGTTTCACTTTGAATGCTACTGGGAATCCAAAACGCATTCTTTGTAATTGGTATTCTGTATATGGTCATAATCACATCTACTGTTTGTACTTCACCATCACTGGTGGGATCAATCTTTAGTCACCTTTTCATATGCTTTCTCCAGGTCCAGGAAAGTCTATGTACCCTGCTGTTGATACTCCAATTTCCTTTCCATTAATTGCCTAAATTGATAAAGCATTAAGCATTAACTGTGCCTTTACCCTTTTCGAAACCAAACTGCTCTTCCCCTCACTGTGGTTTCACTATTCTCTTTATCACTTTCATATAGTGTGTTACCCCTCTATAATTTCCACATTCATGGATATTGCCTTTATTCTTTAAAATGGGCACTAATATTGAAACTTCCCATGCTTTTGGTATCTTCTTCTCATTCCACACTGCTCACTCTAATCGTCCAGTGGACTTCTACTTCCCCAATTGTCTTTACCATATCTGTTGTAACCTCATCTGGTCCAGCAGCCTTATCTAATTCTGTTTTACCAATTGCTCTCCCTACTTTTTCAGTGGGCTCTACTGGCTCATCACTGACATTTGGTGTATAGTCTAGTAATTGCTCTCCAAATGGATTTTCTTCATTCAACAGTTCCTTGAAATGTTCCTCCAATTTCTTCTTTGTTTGAAATTTCCCATCCTTGTCACTTATAAATGGTGAACAGATTTCATCCTTTTTTGACTGGTTTCTGCTTTGTTTTAAACACTTTCTTCCTAGCTGCAATTATATTGTTCTCCAACTCCTCATACTGTTTTCCAGTGCCTCTTTCCTAGCATTATTCACCTTCTTCCTTTCCTTCTTTTTTGCTTTTGCATACTTCTCCTTACTTCTCTGTGATAGGATTTCTTATAATGTTTGAAAATAGGCCAGGGATTTCCAGAAATCTCGAGGCTCCATGTGGGAGATGGAAGTGAAGAAGATACTTTCATAAGATATAACACAACTATGGTTTTATGAAAGGTAAAGAAATGCACATTTGATGACATGGTAAAATTGCTTGAAAATTCAACACGGCTGAATTTTCTATTCCAGTCAGCCTCTAGGCTTCCTAGCTGGCCATAGTTGACCAAATGACACAAATTTCATACCCTAATTTACAAATACACACTAGCTGAGTGACTACTTCTGTGTGTTAGCAGTTAAATTAGAAACAACATATCTCAATTACATATCTTGTAGATATAATTTCATCATTAACCTATCAATCATCCTTACATGTTAAAAACTCAATTTTGTAGAAGTTATAATAGCAATCACAACAACCTCGTAAGAAAAAATAATCCACTTTGATGTATTCAACCTATTTACTAAGGTACCAATCTCAGAAACACTACAAATATTCTTCCAATAACTTGAAAATAGTAGAACTCCCAAGAAAGAGACCCAACTGTAAATCTCCACAATTATAGACTGCACAACCTTTTTTTTTGTTGTCAGCATAACATATTTTCAGTATGAAGATAAGTACTATTAACAGCAAGAAGGTATGGGATCACTCCTTAGTAACCTCTACATGGGACATTCCAAAGAGAATACCCTCAAACCAGCTGGTTGAAGTCGTATGATTTGTTTTTGATATGTTTAGAATATATTTGTAATAAGGACACATTACAGACCGATTCAACAAATCATGAACTACCTAAACAACCAGTGATACAATTCACAACAGAAATGAAATATAAACTTTCATTCCTAGAATGTGAAAGTTACAAGAGGGATATATTTAGGTAAAACTGAGTTAACCTTAGAGCAATGGTATAGGTCCACTTAATAATAATAAGTTCAAGAAAGTAATACGGAATCTTTGAATAGCTGAGTTTGTAAAAAATGGAATAAAGTGATTGGATGCAATGTAATGTGCAAATGAACAAGTATTTGTTATATCACACATAAAGCACAAATACATTGTAGGTGTACTTGTTTTTATAGAAAAGGGATGATTGCTGTACTGAATTAGATAACTTTCTTTCAATTGGATCAAACAGATCATCTGTTGTACTGTCCAAGTTCAACATTCCATACATTGCAGGCAGTGTAAGATTTACTGTGCACAATTTGCAAAGCTCGTTCTAGAGATACCACCTGACTTACCATTGAAGTACACTACTTTCTATATTCTTACACAATGTGTAGCATTACAGCCATGCCTTTCTTGAGCAGAAAAGGTGTGACCTAAATAGAATGACAAGGAAGAAAGGCAGGTAGAATGATATCAACTTAATTTTCTTGACCATTTATTATGTGAAAACTGCACATACTAAGAAATAACTGATAAATTTAGAATAATACTATATTAAAATGAAGAAAGCATAAATTCATGGTGTGTTTATATACCACAGAATACATAACTCGTATGCCATAGGCATTTACAGGAAACCTGCAGATACAGGAAACTATCTGAAATATAAATCAAACCACCCCTACAGAGTAAAGGTGTATCATTGACTACCTGGTTCAAGAATAAACAAAATCTGTCATTCCAAAGATGCCAAGAAAAGAAAAAAAACTGCGATCTTTATTGACAGTGGATACCCAGAACACTAAATAAGAAAGTAAAGAAGGGTAAACCAAGAATAAGCAGTAATAAAATTATGATGAAGCAGCCACATTTCCCTATATCAAAAGTCTCTGAAAATATACAGATGATATGCTAACAGTATAAAGTCAGAACAAGATTCAGAAGCCATAACACAAAATTATCACAGGTAGCTCTTACCAAATCACCTAAAGACTCTTTGAAGAGCAAAACCACCTTTTTTACAACATCCTTTGTGAATGTGTACTCCAATACAATGAAGAAACAGAAAGACTAATAAAAGGTAAAATTCAGTAATATAGTAGATGTACTAGAATATGTATTACCAATCTGTTTGCAATAGTTCATAATGATAGAGAAGATTATTTAATAGGATAGGAACTACACACAAAAAAGAAAGTAAGCCATCTACATCTTCCTAACTGATAACACACTCAGCCACCATAGCATGCAAATCAGAAAAACCTGGATACCTTCATGAAAATGTGCATCTAAAACAGTTGATTAAAATATCATTGGTGGAGATCCCTTTTAAGTGGCTAACAAGCACCTCTATCAAGAACACTCAAAATCAAATCCCAGCCACTACTACCACAGAAATAGTTCTTCTCAGGACTTCCCTGAAGACAGCAGCAATTAGTAGTCAAAACGTAGAATAAAACTAGTTGATAATTAGTAGCTAGTAATTAACAAAAAGTAACTATTTTATAATTTGAGATTTACATGATTGTTTAATATGCTAACAAAACAATGTATAAGATTGATATCCAGTCACAACCTTACACCCCCCAGTGGCACAGTGGTATATCTGCGGACCTACAATGCTAGAAACCGGGTTTCAGTACCCTTGGTGGGCAGAGCACAGATAGCCCATTGTGTAGCTTTGTGCTTAATTCCAAACAAACACAATCTTACAGTAAGTACACAAAGAATGAGTACAATCATTGGGCCAAGTTAGAACAATTCCATTGTAGGTTTCAGTTTCAAAGAAATTTAGCTTTTCCTGTGTTACAGTTTATCTGCTTATGACTCTTCTTTGAAACTAGTCTTTCATATATATAGATGATTAAGAATATTAAATAAAGTTTCACCTTTTTTATGGTATAACAAAAATTTAATTAAATGGGGTATGTTCAGTTATTAATACTTTTATCTTTATATGACTACTTCCATATACTTTAATTTATTTGCTGAATGTTTTTGTTTTTAGATGGATTTGAAGCTCATGTGTGACAATGCCATGACTTACAACAGACCTGATACTGTCTATTATAAAGCAGCTAAAAAAATGTGGCATGCTGGACTAAAACTTCTAACTAAGGTAAATTGTTTTTGTAATTTGTACTGCTGTGCACATGAAATGTTTTCATTATTGAAAGAAAAGTGAGTGAAGGATACAAATATATTTGATGGTTACAATTTTCCTAAATAGGACCAAATTCTTGGACTTAATCTTCCATACTTGAATGAACTAACAATGGAAGAGATTGGCTTTGATATACGAGATCTACCATCAGAGATTCAAGAAACATCTCAACTTGGGGAAGAAAGTAACTACTCAGGACCAATACTAATAGATAATAAGAAATCCAAATATAGGGGAAGGTAAGTTTCTTGCACTTTTCTTGAATGTATTTTTTTAATTTTTTTTAATTTTAAGATTTGTATATATGTGATAAATCTTTTCCTTCCTATTTAATCTGTTGTATATTCAGTTAAAACTGAATTACTTATAGCAATGGGATAGGTCTGATTTATAACAAGAGGTTTAATAAGATAATCTATCATGTAGTTATTCTAACTTCTCTGACTTTGAAAAAGAAATTTGGCACAGTGTACCACATGCAATGAAACAATCTTCATTTACACCCAAAAATACAATGAAAATAATGTGCATAGTGTGAAGAACAATGCAATTACTATTTAATTATGTCTCAATAATCTCTTACCAATTTACAAATATATTTAATAAGATCTAGTTAATGTTACATTTACAGGTAGGAGAACATAATATTTGTAAAGGAAGACTTAAACTTCACTTTGTGAGGGCTTGATCTAGAGAGAGAGGAAGCTAACTAAGAGATCATAGTGTTTTATACTCAATATCTAACAGTTATTGTTGGTCAGTCTCACTGAAACAGCTTCAAGGTATCACCTGATCTATCATAAGAGGACACTGCTGTCTTCATTTTTCTACAGTGTGCATCATTACATCCATAGTTCCCTTTAGTTCACTTAGAGGAGAAAACACCTGGTGTGTGATAGGTCTTGGATTTCAATCCATGGTGAGGTGCTGTAAATATTGTGGAATTATTAAATTATCAGGATCTTATAGAGTTCTGGTGAACCATCCTGTCCTCTACAATGTAAAGAATGGTTGATTTATTCCCTGAACACTCCTTTCTTCTGAAGATTTGGGCGTGACTGGTTATTTTCCTCTCATCTCTTGCACTTCTATTTTTTTTAGTACTTGGTTGTTTTTTTTCCTTTCATTCTTTATGTCCAGGTAAGGCTGTCCATTCCTTTTGTGGACATCCCATGGCAAATCTCCTCTTCTGGGGACTTAATCTCTTCCAGTTTAACCAGATGAATTCATCAGCTCTTTCAACTAGTATGTTCTTCTTTGAATGAGTTCAAGTGCATGCTTTTTTTAATGTCATCTGCTATCATATTTGGCATATCAATGCCTCTCTTGCTTCCTTTTGACACTGACCATTGGAGGAAATCTTGCAGGCTTCACATAACACAATCATCTCCCATTACTTACATCACTGGGAAATTTCATGTGCCTCTGGTTTTTGCTTCCTTCCTGTTGGCATTCTTCAATCTACCCAGAGACTCTAGTTTGGTGAGTTTTGCTTGTTTATTTTCATTTACAGCTCCATCACTTATACATTCTCCAAGTCCCTGACACTACTATGTGTGTACAGATCTTTTCACACACATCAACAAAAAGAAAAGAATAAAACACCAAAAGGTTGGGAAAAATAAAACAAAAACACATAGCATGTTGAACTAAAAATTATTTATGTTTGGAGTCATCAGATTCTGCCAAGTGGCTGCCATTGCCTCACAGGGAATGCTTATCTGAAATCCACATTGAGTGGAAGAGTAGAGAAAATGTTAAACCTATCCATAGCATATGGAACTAAACATTAATTATGTTTGGAGTCATCAGATTCTGCCAAGTGGCTGCCATTGCCTCACAGGGAATGCTTATCTGAAATCCACATTGAGTGGAAGAGTAGAGAAAATGTTAAACCTATCCATAGCATATGGAACTAAACATTAATTATGTTTGGAGTCATCAGATTCTGCCAAGTGGCAAGCATTGCCTCACAGGGAATGCTTATTTGAAATCCACATTGAGAAGAAGAATACAGAAAATGTTAAACCTATCTGCTCATGCTTAATACCCACATTGAGGTGAGGTTCTCTGTATAACTACTTTGCCAGTTCATCTGTATGATTGACTTGGCTCTTTCTGCACCATTTACAAAAGGGAAAAAAAAGCACCAGATGTAATCCTGCCCTCACACCTTCTGTAATCCTGGACAAGGGCAAATTGATGAGGGGAAAATTCATCAAAAGTAATAAAACCCAGTGAAAAGTGGTAAATCAAATGATGGGTGGGCTTCAGATTTTTTTTTGTAAATTTAATTTTTTAATTGTGCATGTAGAGAAAGTTACACTACATTTTTTAAAGATGTGTGTGTGAAATAAATTATTATTATTATTATTTTACTTTTTGGGGCATGTACAAAATATAGCCAATTAGGGCTAGAAGTGATTAACAATTCTCATATATTAAAAACAAATCGGCAAAAAAAAAATTTTTACTTTTCACATTAGCATAAAACCAGATTGTAAAGCGAAGGTTAAAACATTTTTTAAGATATGAGAGTTGTTAACTACTTCTTGCCTTAATTCTCTATATTTTGTATATGATTGTTTAGTTTTTATAACAAGACTGTTAAAATTGAATCATTTTAAAGGCAATAGTTATGACAAGTTTGGTCGCGCAAATCACTAAGAGTTTTATGTTGTGTGTGTGGTTTAGTTGTTGTAATATTATTAATGCCACGTTACTCGAATCTTCGGTATTTTTCTCATTACATTAAGTGAGTATTGTTACATTACAGCACCGCTTGCATAGTTTAGAGAAAATTCAAGGCCTCAGTGAACAGCATATCAATTCAGGTGATCAAGCAAGTGCAAGTAGAAAGTAAAGTGAAGAGGAAGGTCAAATGTGTGTGTGTGGTTCAATTGTTGTAGTATTGTTGGTGCCAAGTTACTTGAATCTTTGGTATTTTTTTCGTTACCTTAAGTGGGTGTTGTTATCTTACAGTGCTGCTCACATAGTTTAGAGTAAATTCGAGGCCTCAGTAAACAATGTATCAATATAGGCAACCAAGTGAGAGCAAGTAAAGTAGAAAGTAAAGTAAAGAGAAAAATCAAATGCAGTTCAGTCAGAAAATTAGTTAGCAAAAGAAAATGTGATGTTAGCCAGTGTGTCAGTGATTAGCAGTTATGGGCGATATTTTATAGTGAGTTTAACAGAGGTAAGGAGAATAATCTGTCTTGTCAAAGGGTGTTCTAAGGTAATTTAACCCATCTGCATGGACTTTGATGAATAGGAGACAATTATTTAAAGTTTGATATACAACTGTGGTAACCCATGGGGTAGCATAAGTGAATTATTTACTGATACTATTGTGATAAGAGTAGAGAAAAATAGTTTGTCTTGTCAATTGGATTCTAAAGTAATTGAATTAATCAACCTAAGTGGATTTTTGACAAGAAAAGAGAATTATTTAGAGTTTGAGATACAACTGATGTCCTATAGTGTAAAGAATTTTTGTACATAGTTTGACTTGTTTTGAATATATTATTTTAAAACAAGTGGAGTGTGTGCTGTCTGTTTATTGTTGAATTTATCGCCAACAAGTCAGACACCTAATGCACAAGAATCCATCCCCACATACGTCTTTAAAATTCTGACATTAAGTAGTCAAAATGTAAGAGTTAAGTAGCATAAGTTGCATTTCATATTTGAAAAAATTAGAATCACATTGACAGTGTGGGTACCTAGTGTCATATTTTAGCATCATAATAAAAAAACAAGAAGAAAATGTGACTATGTTGTCAAGTGTTTTACTCAACCAAACAAGCTTTGAAAATAAACATAATTTACAAATATAATAAAAAAATTAGGAGGTAAAAGGTAACTATTATGAATTCCCACCAGATTCATTACTTTGAATAGAATAATTTAAAGAGAGATAAGAATTTTATTCCAGTTGTACTTATGTACCTGTTAGAATGATAGTTTGTTGTTTTTGTTTGGAAAATAATTAGTACTGCTCTTCTGTTTGGTGTTGTTTCTATGACAGTACAGTGTTACTTTTAGTCTAACACCATTGTCAATCACTTTCTTGAAACATTATTTTTGTCAAACTTCTAAAATTTTGTTTTGTATTTATTTTATGATTGTTGATGTTTTTCTTTTAAAGCATGTAGAGTGCATATCTTAAGTTTTTAAAATTGTTATTAAAAGTCAAATCTGTGGATCTAATAATTCTGTAACCTCACATCAAAATCTATTGAGATGAGTAACATGTTAGCCTACATGTATATGCAAATATTGCATAATATATTTACCATCTTTTTATGTCAGTGAAGGAAACTATTCCCTTTTAGGTCAATAAATATTTTGTGTATTTTCAGTAATAAATTAACAAGAATAAAAACAGGTCTAATCTAAATTCTAAATAAAATTACCTAGAAAGACTGACAGTAGTAAATCATTAGGTATTGTTCAGAGTCACAGCTCATACGACAGAACAGATTTTATTCATTACACCTATATCTGAGCAAAACTGGGTGACACAGGAAGGTACCAACTGGATTACTCTGTGGTTTGGCAACACTACATTAATAATATGAAGAACTCGCACAATTATTCAGGAGTTGATGCAAGTACAGACCACAACTTAATGATCATGAAAGTTGGAGTACAACACAAGAAGATAAAGGTAGGCATGAAACAAATATCAAAATTACAGAAGTGGAAAATAATCAAAACTCATGAAGGAAAGAAGAAATACAGAGAACTAAACAATAAACTCCAGTGGAAACCAACAATGCTTGTCAAATTTGCTTGCAGCAGCAATGTGATGAACATGAAAAACTAGAAATAAACGGAAGATCTGACATTTTCTATCAGAAGATCAGAGGTTTAACTAAAACAGTGAGAAGGAACTCCAGCAATACAATTTTAAACAAGGAGAGTCAGCTGTTAACAGAACCAGAGGAAGTTAGACAAAAATGGAAAGTCTTTATTGAAGAGCAATATGCAAAAAAGCAGAAACCAAAAGGCCTGCCTATGGAAGAACTACAGGACATTGATTTTGGTAATATGAGACTGAGTTTCACAGACAATTAAATTAAAAATACAATAAAAGAGTTAAAGTCCAACAAACCAATAGGAGTAGATGGTATTCTAGTAGATTTACAAAAGCTTTGGATAAAGAATCAACCAAAGTATTAATCATCCTGTGAAAATTGATGTATGAGCAAGGAGCCTGGCTTGAGGAACTTTCAAACAATTTGACTGAAGCTTTTTGGCCCCAGCTGATGACAGTGCTGAAGAAAATAAGGGTGTATTGGAGAGACTGATGGATGATTAAGGGCTTGTATATAAATGAAACAGTGATTGTAAGGGTTTACTGAAGGAACATCAGATAATGTAACAGTTGGATGAGGAAAATACCGGTAAAGTCACTAGTGTGAAGTGTAGTCCTTTATGCCTCTGAAATTTAGGCATTAAGGACAGAAGATGAAAGGCACTTGAAGAGTTTTGAGATGTGGGTGTGAAGAAGAATAGAGATGGTTAGATGAACAGAAAGAAAAACCAATGAATTGTATTAAGAGTTTTGAGGTGTGGGTGTGAAGAAGAATAGAGATGGTTAGATGAACAGAAAGAAAAACCAATGAATTGTATTTATTACCTGTCCTAGGACAGAAAACCAATTAGGATAGATTAGATGATTAAGAGGTTATTTGTTTTAACTGTTGAGGAGTTGTGAAAACAAATTTGAAATTATTCACAAACAAAATAATTTTTGCCCTTGTATTTATTACCTGTCCGTGAATGCTGATACTGAGATAGCAAATTTTTTTTCTGCTCCATAAGTGTTGAAACAATTTCATAAAGCTCTGGTGGTAGCTTACCATTCAAAGTCAGAGTATATATATATTAAAGTTCAAAAAATTAACTAAGGTAACTGAAAATGAGAAACAGTTGTGGAAATCAAACACAGTAGTTTTTATTTTTGAACCAGTTAGTTGTTTTGCTTTTAAATAAATTTTGGTAAAAAATTAATTAAAACCAGTATGATTTTGTAATTGAGTTTTTATTTTCCAAATAAGTTTTTTGTTAAAAACTGGAATTGCATTGCTTCTAAACACATGGTTCATAGCAGCTATGGAATGGAAAAATTATGGAATATTCATTCTCTAGATGAAGAGGATTAGAAGGTGAACACAATCCCACCAAAATCACATTGTTGGTTGATGCTGGATAATCTGTTGTTTTTACTGTTATCTGTCAATGATTACTTCACATTGTAATATCAGTTGAATAGCTGATGAACTAGCTCACTTAAAATAGCAGGATTTTAGATAATTATAAACCCTAAATGATGCCATGATTATTAAGAATTTTTTAAGAAATTGAACAGTTGAACCCAAACCATTTACATGGCAGTAGCCAGAAAAGGGGAAAATTATTTATACTTAAATTCCCATACTGTAATAGAGGGAGTAGTTGAAGATTGCCATTCAACTGAAAAATGAAAAGTGAAGCATTTTGAAATTAACATCATAAATGAGAGAGAGAGGAAAAATTTCTTTTATAGTGTATTGTGAACCTTTACATATATTTGCATATGTAATTATTGAGCATCAAGATTAGTAAAGGATAAGTTTGTGCTTTTGTGGTTAGCGTGTATAAATCTTTTAATCTAAAATAATACTTGATTGTGGATTGAAAGTTATCAAAATGCAGCATGATCTGTTTTATTGCAATATTTGTGATATTTTTCACAAATATAACTGTTTACTGTGTAGCCAAAAAAGCAACTATAAGGAAATTTCCAAAGCAAACTCTATTATCAGTTCATAGAAGGAGATGGATCAGTTTTTTGATATTTTCTGTAACATTGTCTTGTTTGATAACCATTAATAAGTGCTTAACAATGGCTAGGTTTTAGTGCAGAGTTATGTTTTCAAAATTATGTCAATTTTAACCAAAAACAGGTAAGCTTTTCCAAAAAAATACTCTTTCTTTAAACAAAAAATTATATTACAAGTTTGTACATCTAACACTAAACTATTAGGCTTAGTGTATTGTATAACTTCAGAAATGTTTGCAATAGACTTTTCTGTGAGAGAAATGTGTTGTTCTACTTAATGGCTTATATGAGGAAGGATTCTATAAAAGTGAACTTCTCTGGTTCAATTTCCCTCTGTCAACCTCCTTTCCATCTGTTTTTGCATTTATGAAATCGTAATTCTTTTTATAGTGCATTGAAACATTAAACTATTATTGCCATTTTAAAAAGTTCATTAATAATAATCTTTGTAAGAGATTTTAGATACCTTAATTGTAATGATACATCTTGGGACCATTTCTGGTTATTGTTTAGTCATATGTGAGAATATTTTAACAAACATGTTAACCTGACTAAGTATGTTGTTTTACTGTGGATAATGCAAAAATGTGACAGAGATTTTGTTTACACAAAAAATAACGAAGTATATTAATAGAAATATTTATCCAACTTTAACAAAATAATAATAAAGCTCTGACCCATTTTTACATGACTTGCAGTATGAAACTCAAAACCATTTATATTTATAATAGCAATAACTAATCTCTATTTAATAATTAGTATAAGTTTGACAAAATGTTTTGAGCATTTACTATCCTCTAGGCAGATAAGGTTTGGGAAATACCATGTTGATATGGTGCTTATTTCCACTATTCTTTTCCTTTTTTTTTTTAACTACAAAGATTTGAAATCCATTTCAGTTGAAAAATTCTTTATCAGAGGCCCAGGTGTTGTTAAGAAATAACAGTCAAGGTTTTTTATGTCGTGCTACATGACTGCACATGATTCAAAAGAAAGAAATGGTGGGAATATTTTAAAGGTAACACTCCTGGGTCAAATAGGCATATGTACTTGTATCTTTAACATAATAATAGTGAAATTTTGAATGATTGTTATTACAGCAGTGCTCCAGAACCAGAAATACCAGGTGATGACATGAGTCCTGAAGAAATTTTGGCAATGGCTCAAAAAGCTGCTAAAGCTGCAGCAGATAGACTTACCTTGGAATGTCCTAACAGCAAGGTGAATAATAAACTTAAAAATTTGTTAAATTTTGCAAGGATTTATACCTAATATATTTAAGAATCAAATATGTCATAGTACAATATATGAACTATTTTTGCCATTTTATATTTATTTGTGTTTATGATCTTCTAGTCCTAAAAGTACTGTGTAATTAATGCATCAAAAGAATTTTTTTATTTTCTTACTTTATAAGCAGATGATTGTTGCTTTTTGATTAAAAAGTTATTTTTACAGACTTTCATGTTTTATTCTTTGTAGTTCATAGTCTTTCTGTGTAATTCTAAAGAACATGTGTTATAATGAAAATATAAATGATTCTAGTTTTACTACCAAGCTATTTCATTTTTTTAAATAAGACTAGTTGCAGGTGAATTTAATTTTAATAGTATTCTGTATCATGAAACGATGAATAAGATAGTGTTCATAATTATCTTATGTTTAGAAATATTTTATAGGATGTTAGCTTTGTTTTTGAAGAGTAGATTGCCTTTTAGTTGTCTTATACATGTATGACTTTGTCACCAAATCTTTTGAGGCATTGGAGACAAAAGTATCTTTGTTTTCTTGAGTGTACTTCCAAAAAATGTTTGTGGTGTTAAGAGAAATACTAGTGACCAATTTGACCGACCATGTGACCTCTTTGTACTTGTTGAAAGTATTTATATATTTGATACTATTAACTTTTAATACAGTTTGTATATCTTCATGAAATTTGGCAGTCATTCAGTAAATATTATATGTCTTTCACATATAAAAAATCTTATTTCTTAGTGAAATATTTTGAATGAACTAAAATAAAGATTTGTCCTTGAATATATCGAGTGTTTGATATAAATAGTCTGTGTGCAAGTTGATTTTCATGTTAAGATTCAAAATACTTTTCTTCAACTCAAAAATCTCAAATTTCATTTGTGTAATCTCTAAAACCTAGTCCATTTCAAATGTTTGTTTTCAGTAAAACTTATATTTTATCTGTTATTTTCTCTACCCTAACTCTACACTTGGATGGTCAATTTGACCAACCTTGTAACCAAATAAAAAAAAAAAATCTAAATTACCCTTTTTTATTTCATATTGTAACATGAAACTACATTCATTTATTCTAAGTAGCTTTAAACTCGTAACTGTATAAATCTATTGATAATAAAATTTTATTGTTTTATTGCCCCTTTGAATCATGTCTTACTAATATTCATGCCATTATAAGTTGTAAATCACTTGGGGAACATGCAGTTCATGTTATGCTATCGAATTACCTTACCCACGAGCTACTCCAAGCTGCTCCCATGCCTCATAAAATATTTTTATTATATTATTGACAGAAATGAATAAAAACCCTATAACCCGAGCACTTTTGAAAAGTGGACCTTTCTTCTTCATGTGCAAACTAGGAATGATGGTGTAATTGAATTAGTGATATATATATATATGAAGGGAGTTTAGTGACGTCATGAAAGTCATCCAGTTTTCCAGGAAATGTTTAGTCTATTTCTCTATGTACTTTTGTAAGCATCTGATTTTCGGTACAATGTAGCTGATGGCGAGAGTGTATGTGAAAAGGTGTTAGGGATATTTTCATGTTCTAACCGTTACAAATCTCTTAAGAAATACTAGTTTTTGTATTTGTGTGTTAAAATCAAGACTTGATATTTGTAGTTTGGCTTTTTGAGACAGAAGAGTGATGGAAGTACAACTCTTGCTATACTTAATCCAGATGGAGATGCTACAGCAGGTATGATGTATTTTTTCTAGTACAATACGTTGATATGATATTATTTTCCTGCAAACACAAGTAATTTGTATGATGTAAACTATTAGAAAAATCTACAAGCCTCTATCACAGAAGTAATCATTATTTTACAATGTTTTTTGTCTGTCATGCTATGCTGTTCAGTGCTAAATCTGGAAGCTAATTTTAATAACCATGTAGTTATCCCATTTAAAGTGTAAGAAATATTTAATGACATGTTAGGAGTCTTTAATAATATATAAGTTCCAGCTTACTTCAGCATATTTTGTTTTGTATAAGTTCCAGCTTACTTCAGCATGTTTTGTTTTGTATAAGTTCCAGCTTACTTCAGCATGTTTTGTTTTGTATAAGTTCCAGCTTACTTCAGCATGTTTTGTTTTACGTACTTTACCTAGATTATGATTTTATTTCTATGAATCGTTTGTTCTATGAAAAAAGCAAGAATGAATTAGTTTTTTAACTAATGAATCATAAGCAGCATATTAAAGGTAGACCAAAATTATGCATTATGTTTATAAGATTTCAAGAAACAAACTTGCTAATTATTATACCTCATGAAACTTTCAAAAGTTTGCATTACATGCTTGTTTTTATTGCATTATAGCTTCCAAAGAAATGAAAGTAAATCTTGAAATGTTGACTGGCCGTCTTTCTCAAGGCACAGGTACAATTTTAGGTTTTAAAGAAGACGTCAAGAATATAGTTAAACCAGGTAATAAAACATTATACAAAATTTAGTAATTCATGCTTTAGTTTACTTTCTCAGATTCTCATAATATTGTAAGTGGTCAGGTTCAGTTGTTGTAATATATAACTAATACTTAAATCATAAAATATTTTTTTAATTAATAAAGAACAATAATGCTAGAAGTGCATAATAATAATAATAATAACAAGTTTGATATTTTATATAAATACAAAGGAGTTATTAAAATTGATGTGAGGAAGATAAAGAACTAAGTGATCAACAACAGGGATCACACTATAGGTGGGGCAGTTTTGGTTCAACAGATTGTGGGCCTTCAATTGTTTTGGGGAAATAAGAACTTAAAAATGTAGACAACAGCTATGAATATTCATGGAAAATCTTCAAATGTTTAATTTAAGAGTTACTGCTTTGAAATTTTGTCACTATGTAGCTACATGTATTTGATATTCATTATTTTTAAGTTTCATAAATTGTATTTCAAAATTTTTTTGAAGCCTCCATCATTTAGAAGTGTAGAAACTATGGTAAGTCATTTAAATATTAACATACACTTACAAAAATATCCTATAGTGTTCCTATAAAAAAATTCCTTTAAGCAATCTAATAGAGTATCCTATAGGATTTGCTTATAGGATGTACTATGGGATTGTTTCTACAGTACACTGTAGAATTTCCTATAGAGTATCCTATAGGATTTGCTTATAGGCCCATAGTACATACTGTTTTTACAGTACACTGTAGAATTTCCTATAGAGTATACTATAGGATTTGCTTATAGGATGTACTGTGGGATTGTTTATACAGTACATTGTAGAATTTCCTATAGAGTATGCTATAGGATTTGCTTATAGGATGTACTATGGGATTGTTTATACAGTACATTGTAGAATTTCCTATAGAGTATCCTATAGGATTTGCTTATAGGATTGTTTATACAGTACACTGTAGAATTTCTTATAAGATTGCTTTTGGGACATCAGCAGAATTTAGATAGCACATTCTATAGTTAGAGCTGCAGAATTGTACAGTTAACATTTTAAATGCAAACAATGGGTTTATGTGCATACTTATAGTATTTATCAGAACCAAGATGTATACTTGCCTTAATGTAATCTTAAGTTGGAACTATAAAAATGATTTAAGAGTGCTTGTAGTAAATGTTATTATATGTATTCTCAGTTTCTTGTACTTATCCTAGTTCATTCCATTCCTGATAGCCTTTATAAAAAATCAATAATGTATGTAAGCAAACTGAATAATAAGAGAATTAAAAGGAACTGAAAATACCTAAAATTTAAGTTTAAAACAAAAGATATTTTAGTTTGTGTATCTTGTGTTAAAGATTGATTAAAATTCTCTCTCATATTTCCATAATATGCATACTGTTGACATTGGTAATTTTACAGAGTTGAAATGTTTTGTTTAAGTTAACCCTGCCAGTACCAAAGCCATTTTATCTTGCCTTCGACCAAAATCATAGGATTTAATATTAAAAAAATATAAAAAACGTACATTAGATCATATTTCAGATTTAAGTTTTTTAAATATTCTGTTGTTTCTACTAAATCATTTTATTCAATGAATTTAACCAAAAGTTCAAAATATTTTTTTTTTCTTCAAATGAGTTATCTCTATAGTAACAATGTAGTCTCTTAAAATTCTACAAGTAGAATGGTTATTTCCTAACATTTCAAAGTTCATAACACATAAAAACAAAATAAATAGAAATTGAATATTTTATTTTTCTGAAATTAAATGTTTTAGGAAAATACCTTTCAACTTCCAAAGTACTTCATGTATTAGTTTTATTTTGAGAACGAAACTTAATGACAGTTATGTAACCTACTTACACTGAAAGTAGGCTATAAGACATTAGTAACTTTACAGAGTTGAAATTTGTTGTGTTTAAATTAATAAATACAAGATCATAGATTTCACAGAATAATGTTTTTATCTCTCACTTAAAAACAACAGGATTTTTTTAATTACAAATTTTTGGACTTATTTTTTTCTTGAATTAACTTTGCATCATTATTTAATTTGGCTGTTATTGTTTTCTTCACGCCCCTTTCTGTTGTTGCCAGTTTCTTTGTTGTATATGTTACAAAAGTAACAGGTAGTTATTTATCACAGGTTATTATTATGCTTTAAGTTTGTTTCATAACATTTTTACATGTCAATATATTAAAACCTTTATGTGAGAAATTAAGAACATACTCAATGAAAACAGTACTTAACTATAATGGCATCAATGATTTCTTTATCAAGTGGTTCTTTTGCTTCTTTTCCTTTGTATGCATATGACTGAATTCATGTCAGTGATTTTTTCGATAACTCTTCTGGCGTGTGAAAGATTCTTAGCATGTCTGACACTAATTTGTTACGTCATGATGATTGCATAACTGTAACTTCTTTGCTATTTTAATTTTGCTTTTGAGTTCAACCATTTCCTGTAAAAGTTATATATGAACTAAAATTATAAGCATATTTTAAAAGTGCTAGTAGTAAATGTTATTTTTATTCTCAGTTTCATGTATTTGTCTTGGGTCATTCCAATTCTCATAGAATGTATAACAGATTACAATAAATTTGCTAACAAATGGAACAATTATGAAATATTAGTATTGGTTAGTTTATAACATCCAACACAACTATGGGAGAATGATAAACTAACACAATTATATCAATTTTGAAATTAAAACTGTGTGATAGTAGTTTTTATCATAACATTGGTAATAATGAATATATGGATATTAAGACACAAATGAAAATATACACTTTACTATTAAATAATACAATTTAAAAGTAACAAGATAATTGGCTATAGTTTCATCTAAACTGATAGATTCCCTTAAATGATCTTAATACTGTGTGCATGGGGTCAGTTCATTGGACCAAGCCTGTATTGAAGAATCAATATGTATTATAATTCCGAGTTTACTATATGTATTATAATTCCGAGTTTACTATATGTATTATAATTCCGAGTTTACTATAAACAAAAACAAATCTTTAGTAAAAATTCTTTCTTAAAAACTTTGAACTTTTGTGCTCAACATACTTGTAATGTTTACTAAATGTTTATAAAACATTTATGAAAATATTTATAGTAAACTCGGAATTATAATACATATAGTAAACTCGGAATTATAATACAAATTTATTGATTAGTTTGAGTCAAGGTGGTTTTCATGTTGGGTATAACAAACGTGTTGACATCTCAAAAAATAAAGAAGGTAGGAGGTTCGTAGTTTAAATTCTAGCCTATTGATATTCATAGTTTGTGTTAATAATTGGTGGACATTCTGAAATCCATGTAATAAAAGAAAGAAAATATAAAAAGGAGAATTCATTGCAAAGAGGCATCATGTAACACAGAAAAGTGAAGATTGAGAATTTATTTAAACATTTTCTTTAGAAATTAAGAAATTAAAACTTGTGTATTAATAATATTTGACTTATAAACTATGTTTTGATAATAAGTTTATTAACATGCATTGATAATAGTTGTTTAATTAAATTTTAATGTTACTGTAGAAAGGTCATGATATGCTCTTTGACCCCACACATACATGTAGGGTAAAAAGTAATGTCTTGTATATGTTTACTGCACATACAAATTACCAAACAGAGCAATATTTATTTGCTAAGTTGTCCCCAGTTATATCCTACATGTAGCATTTCAAGGACTGGCATTTTATTCGTTGATAATGGTAGAAGGTCAGACTTGTCTAGTTTTTTTTCAACCAACATATTTTCCATAATTGAAGTTTTAAAGATGCATATTTTCTGATGTTATTTTCTAATGCTAATACATATGTAAATATGATCTCAATAGAAAGTGAAAACATTGAAGTTCTTTCATTATAAAACTTTTGATTTATATGTGATTTTTGTTCTTGATTATAAGTTGATACTGTAGTTTACAAGTATTTTGCCCTGATTGAAAAGTTTTTAATATATGTATTTATATATTACATCTTTCTATCAATTACATGTGTAGTATATACACTGATCATTTTGTAATTATATTTGTTAGAAAGTACTCAATACATGAATAATGTATTTTCATTATGCTTTACTTGTGATTCAAGATCAGTTCATACACTTCATGTAGGATCAGAAATCCATTATGATTTGTAAGGTGTTCCACTTAATCATTGGTTAGTATATTTCTCTCTAACTAGATATGAAAATCTAGCTTACAAGATTGTATCCTCAGAAATTTCAAAATATAAGTTGGTGGAATCCATAATGTCCATGTGATGCACATAATGCTTTATGAGGGAAAGTTGATAGATAATCAAGTGTTTTTTAGCATTTTATTATCAAACAAAATGTCAAGATCAACAAGTCTGAATATGTGAATCCTATTTCACAGAGTTCTTGAGGTAAACAACTTTTCCAGCAGGAAACGTTAATCAATCCATAATCTCTATGTATTTTCGTAGATCTATTTTGAATTATTCAAGCAGGTAACATTAATCAGTACATAATCTCTGTTGATATACACAATCTATTTTGAATTATTCCATCAGGAATCATTAATCAGTTCTTAGTCTATATTGATACACGCAGACCTATTTTGAGTGATGCAAGTATTATCCTTTAAGTTTCTATGTGTATTTTTACACTTATGATTTTCATATTTTTCCAGTCATATTCACCATCACAATCCTATAAATGATCAGCTACAGCAGATAATAGTGTTGCCACATTTTGTTCCATTCTGATGTTTTTTCAATCTTGTTTTGATTTCATTCTTCTTTGTCCTAATTTACATTTTACCACAAATACAGCTGATTAAGTAAGTTCCGTGTTTATCTAAATTCTTGTTTTGATTTTTTAATTGTAGTAAATGATTAACAATTTTGTTTTGAGGAATGGAAGTTACTTTATAAGCTTTTTTTGTCTAGATTATTTTTCAATTTTGTAAGAAATGTCAGAAAGAAAGGGTGTGCCAGTTAACTTATTTTGAGGTGATGTTAACAGAGTTACTTTAG